ACCACGCATTTTTTAACCCAAAATCTAATGTAGCAACTAGCAACCGTTTAGGATGTCACGTGAGACGCACGTTACGAGATATCGATCACAAATTCTTGGTTATATTTTCAAATAGATTTAAAAGGCTTTTGAAATCCAGTGGGGTTCGTATTTAAAAAAATAAAAAAAGATAAAAAAAAATAAACTTTAGTTTATGAAAGAATTTTTGTTATTGTTGTTGTTAGGCTTTAGGGAGTCTAAAATTTTATTTGTTTTTTCGAAAGGAAATTTTATGAAGTCTGCAGACATCTGTAATCTTTTGCAGTAGAAGAAGTAGATCAAACGGTTTTTTTTACATCTGCACACTATGTAATATTTAAATAAACTAATTTTATAAACTGAAAATAATTTTCATTGCCAAAAAAGCTATCAGTTTTATTCCAGAAAAAAAACTAATTTTAAAAAACATTAAAAAAAATAATAATAAATAAGAAAATATTACAAACCATGTCTACAAAGTTCGTAAAAGAATTATACAAGTTAAAAAAGATGCATCCGAAATGAAAATCGTATTAACGGAAACAGTAAAAAAATTAAAAAAAGCAAAGTTTTTTTTATCAAGTTATAAAAAATTGTGGAAACTACAACAAATTGTATCAAATCCGTAAGTTTAAAAAAATAAGTTATACCAAAATTAAAAAAAACACACACACACTTGGAAAAAAATGAAACCTGAAGAGGTTTGAAGATGTTTTGTACTATGAAGTATTTCAAAAAAAAACAACTGCTGCAAGAGAGCAAGTGTTGATTGTGTGTTGCACTGCACAACAAAAAGTGATCTAAAGATGTTTAAAAAAACAAACAAATAAACAACACATAACGTATGTGTGACATCTATTTGGAATCCATGAAATACACCATTTCTATTTGACATCCACGGCATACCTGATGGTGTCTTGCCGAACAATACGACCCCAAACGGTATTTTATTGCTGATGAGAGAGGAGAGAGAAGGCAATGGTTGAAAGCTTTTCATTTGTTTATTATTATCTTTTTTTTTTCAATCTCAAACCATTTAATGTAATCTTGACTCGTCCCACCTAAATGACATATTATGCATTTAATGTAACATAAATGACGTGACAATGATATGGATGCAAAAAAGTTGATGTGGCAACATGATATATTGTAACGACTCAAAACTGACAACAAATTTAAACTTTTCAAAACAATCCATTTACTAAAAGAAGTGTTTACAAAACCAATGTTTCCAAAACATTATTTAAAATCAGAGTCTCGTAAGATCCAGTCAGTCGTAAAACCAACTATGTGTACGGTCACGCCTTCGCCTTGCCATAATCATCTAAAGTACCTGAAACAACAAACTAAAAATGTAAGTACGAAGCTTAGTGAGTTACCCAAAGTACCACCACATAAACATATAACATATACAATCAAGCATGTCGGGTCTAATCAACCAATGGGTTGGAATACCCCAGGCCCAGTCAACCTTTGGGTCCAGTCATCCTCGGGATGACATACCCCAGGTTAGAATGCTAATATACAATGGGTTCAGTAAACCATCAGGTTGGAATATCCCAGGCCCAATCAACCTCTGGGTCTAGTCATCCTTGGGATGGAATACCCCAAGTTGGAATGCCAATATACAACGGGTCCATTCAACCATCGGGTTGGAATACCCTAGGCCCAATCAACCTACGGGTCCAATCATCCTCAGGATGGAATACCCCGGGTTGGAATGCCAATATACAACGGATCCAGTAATCCTCGAGATGGAGTACCCTCGGGGCTAATCAACCATCGGTTTGGAATGCCCCCGGTCTGTTAGCTCATGCACATAGCAGTATAGCCTCAACCACCAACCAAAATATATGCACATATAATAGATAAACATATAACCGACCAATAAACTATCAAACAGATCTACAGATCACTACTGCATACTCACATCCTATATCCTAGGACTCAGATCTAACAGATCATTACAGTATAACAACATTATATCACAGAGTAGGATATCAAATCCAATGGGTCGGTCTTCGTACCTTCGACCCATAAGTATAGTAAGGAAACTTACCTCTCAATCTGATCAATAGTTGATGAGGTCCCGACTCCGAATCCCAACTCTAACCATCATATATCCATCCAAATGACCAATTCTCAAACACAATCCAAATATACCCAAAATACCCCTAGGTCAAACTTAGTCAAAATCAGGTAAAAGTGAAAATTCCAAAAAGTCAACTTAGTCAACCCAGTTGAGTACGCCCAATGTACTCAATTGTACGTCAAGCATACACGACTGGTTGCCAACCCAACTCATTAAGAGCTTAATCCTTAAGCTCTTAAGCCTATTTTCCAAATCCAATCCCAAAATGATGTCATTGACCATAAAGTTTCCAGCTTTATGGTCTTGCATGACCATTAAGTGCTTAATGTCCAAAATCCTATGTTCTTAACCCATTAAGACCATTTAACACATGCATTGGTTACATACAACATTGAAGATCATATTTTTATGGTTCATAATAGATCCATAATGGATAAAGTTTCCAACTTTATCCATTAGAATGGTTACAACAAACAAGATATAGTCTTTAAGTCTCAAAGGGACCCCAAAAAGTGCATTTTTATCAAGTTAATCCATTAAGTCCAAGTCTCCAGTCTTTAGATCTTAATCAAAATGATGTTTAGATGGATAAAGTTTCCAACTTTATCCATAACAAGGTCACAAACTTTCAAGATCTAAACTTTATGCGGATTATGTAGCTAATATGATTATGTGATTATGTGGATTATGTGGGGTATGATTCGGGGAACTCACTAAGTGTTAGCTTATAGTTTGTTGATTTGTTTCAGGTGTATCTGAGCCTAAGGGCAATGCTTGATGGTGGGACATGCATTCTTTGACATTTGATTTGATGGGACACTTTGATATTTGAAATAAAATATTGATGTTATGGATTTTGAAAACAATTGTCATTGTTATGTCATATCTTATGGGAACTTTTTGGTTAATTAAAAATAAAAAATTTATTTGAAAATTCGGATAGTTACAATTGACTTCTTAAAAAGTGAATGAGTTAAAAGATGTTTGTGTATAAAAAAAGGGATTGTAAAACAATTTTTTGTCTTAATCTTTAAAAATGAGATTTTAAGAAGTTATAATTTTTTTTATTTTTTGAAACAACTTATGATTTATTATGTTTACAAAATAGATAAAAGACAAAATTAAGAGAATATTTTGCAAAAAAAAGAAGAAAAAATCTTATTACTTATTAGTTTACTATCAAGGGGATTAATTTATGATAAAAATGACTTATTAGATTTGTCATTGTTATAATTTATTTTTATCCAAACACATTTTTAGCTTATGATGGTGTGGAACTACTGATTATACTTTTTGTCAAACACTTACAAGTCAAACAATAAATCTATTAAAAAAACAACTTTTAACTCCAAAATAAAATCTTGAACAACCTCTAAAAAATAAAATCTCAAAAAACTCTAAAAAAGAATCCATTTTCTAGTTACCATAAATCCTTTTGCTAAAAACCCAAAAATTGTCCAAAAATAAATCCTAAGGGTGAGCTAATAAGACACCCCTTAGAAAAATCAACCTATAATCAACTTCTTGTAATATTTTGAGTAAATTACGCGAATGGTCCCTGTGGTTTAGTGTAAATTACACACTTGGTCCCTAACTTATTTTTCTAACTCGGACTGTCCTCAACTTTTAATTATGTAACCCGTCACGTCCCTATTCTCACAGTCCGTCAATTGTTTCCGTTAGACACCCCACGTGCCTTGCACGTTAGGGGTATAAAAGTCTTTTCACATTTCCAACGATCTTCAAATACTAAATTTTCATCAGGATCGAACCTAATTTAGAGTAGTTTCTTTCAATCCTCCATCGTTTGAAGCGGTTACACCTAATCTCCTTCAAATCAAGGATGGTTCAATGCGATTGTGGGCGTGCTGCTGTAATTCGAACTTCAACTACTAACAATAATCCAGGAAGACCCTTTTACGCATGTCCAATTAAGGTATGTTGTAGTTGAGAATTTTGTAATCGTAACCCTAGATGGGGATATCACTGTATGCGATTATAGGTATTGTAACTGTGGCTTTTGAAATTGACAGGAACCACGTAAAGGATTTATTGCTTGGGTAGATGATGATGAAAAGGATCATGGTGACAGATTGACAATCTCCTGGCTTGTGAGGTTGAACAAGAAGCTGAAAAATGAAAATCTTTTCTTGAAAATATGTTTATTTAATAGTTGGGTATTGTTCTTGGTGATACTTGTTTACAAGTTGTAAGGTGGGGATGAGTTGTTATTGTAATGGTAAAGTCTTCTGTAATGGTTAGGTTGTAGCAATGTATGTGATGGTATCATTATCTATAATGGTTAGGTTGTAGCAGTGAATGTGAAGGTATCCTTTTCTGTAATGGTTAAGTTGTCTATGTATTGTAATGCAAATGGTTAAGATTTTAAAGATCAATGAAAATGGTGTTATGTATTGGTTAGGTTGTCTATGTATTGTAATGCAAATGTACTGTAATGGTTGTAGCAGTGTTGTATTGATTATGTTTTAAAGTGATGTATAAGCAACATATTGACCATTAATTAGTACCAAACTATAACAGGGCAATAAGGGTGACATCATAAGAAGAATATAACAATCTAATTTTGTACCAAACTATTATGGAAAATATAAATGTAAAAATCAATATAAACCAAATTATTATCTACCCAATGGTGTATCATAAGAAGAAAACATTCCATTAATTAGTACCAAACTATTACTGGGCAATGAGGGTGACAAACTAGTTCATCCAAAAGTGCCAACATATTGGCTAAAACAAGTATCAAAATACTGCCCCTATTACAAACTAGAGTAAATAATGTACCAAAATATTAGCCCTATTACAAGCAGCAACATAACACAATCCATTCATATTTAAAGTAACAAAAGACTAGCCCTATTACAAACCATCAAGTGGTTGCCTTCCCTTTCCCTTTTCCTTTTACTTGTGATTGTCCACCACCCCCACCAACAATTGGTCTTTGCCCTTTGCAGGTTCTTGCATTGTGACCAACATTGTTACACTTCGTACATGTTACTGATCTATGGGCCCTTGATGCTGTGTTTCCTCTAACAAAGTCCTCCTTTTCAACAATTGATATTGTTCTCTTCTTCTTTGGTCTTCCTATAGGAACACGATGTTTTGGAGGCAACAGAGTTGTTGGTATAGCTGACTTCTCCCACATGGACCTTCCATTGATTGGACTAACCTTAAAAGAATACATCTCTTTCCAGCTTGATAACCAGTAACATGGATGCACAAATGATTCTGGGATTCCCACATCTTTGTCATTCCTCCCCATGTCCCAAATAGCAGCCACACCATGTTTGCACGGAATTCCTATTAATTCCCACCTTTTGCACGTACAACTTTGTTGACCTACATCCACAATACACTGATCTTGCCATGGTCCAGCAACTTGATATTTTCCAGCACCACAAAATGTTGCAACATACTGTTCTGCCTTACTCTTTATGTTATCCAATATTGTTGTAGCTGTAGGAGTCAAAGGACCTACAACTTTCTGAATTTCCTTGTCAACTTTGACTATCTTCTTCATAATGTACTCTCTGATGAACTCAATGCAGTTAATAATTGGTGCATCACGACCATCTTCTATCTTGCTGTTGAATGCTTCACACATGTTATTAGTTAGAGCATCACAATGTGCTCTCCCTGAACATCAACAAATTCTATGTCAGTATTCAATTTACCTTCTTTTAAAATTATTAAGTAGAGATCGAAAGTCATTATACCAGTAAAGTGGGAGCGAGCCCAACTTTGAGGAGGTATTTGTTTCAGCCACTCATAAGCATCATTGTTAAGCTTCTTTAGTTTTTCCATTGCTTGATGAAAGTGTTGTACATTAGAGGTCGTGGCACATTCCCAAAGAAGATCCTTGAACACCTTTCCCCTCCAGTTCTTTTTCATGTTGTCGTGTATGTGACGAAGACAATAGCGATGCTCTGCACATGGAAATAGTGTTGCAATCGCAGGCAACAAACCCTAGCAATAGTAACATGTTTGTATGTTAGTATAACTGCATCAATAGTATAAAACTATAAAACCTAGTTTGGATAGGTTCCAATACCTTTTGCCTGTCACTCATAAACGTGAAATTGGAATTTGTTCCCAAACCTAAGTCATCACCCAAATTACTTAAAAACCAAGTCCAAGAATTCAATGTTTCTGATTCAACCACAGCATAGGCTAAAGGATATATCCCATTATTACCATCCAATGCCTTTGATAAGAAACATAAATTACCAGAAAACATTGGTCAGTTAACACTAATTAAAATAAAGAACATACAATACAAAAAGAAATAAGAAGATCTTACCACAGCAGACAAAACTTGGCCTGGATATGGACCTTTCACGAAGGCTCCATCAAGTCCAAGAAAGTCCCTTCTTCCCGCTGCAAAACCTCGCTTCAAAGCTCCAATGCAAACATAGATACGCCTGAATGTTCTTGTCTCAACAGTTGGATTCGCTTCACTTTCAACATCAATTTTAACCGTAGTATCTGGGTTACGTGCTTGTACCTCTAAAACATAATCCCTTAACAACCTGTACTGGCTGGCATAATCTCCTTGAACATGCTTTAAAGCTTGCTGCTTTGCCCTAAAAGTTTTCATATGCGAAATGTCCATCTGGTACTCACGTTGGAGTTGCTCTCGTAAAGCCCTAATAGGAATCTTTGGGTTTGTCTCAATAACTTGTACTATATGCTCTGAAGGAACTTATAGTCACATGCTTTGACTTTCCTTGTTTGTAGACATCGATGCTCCTTCGTGTATGTCTTAACCATCCAATCTATGTCACGCTTCCACTTACTACAATATATAACCCATGGGCATTTCTCTTCTTCATTAGTAGCAAGATTTGGTATAGTGCCCTTACACACAAACCTAACCCTATTCTTATCATTTTTCTCTAATTGTATTTCCCTTCTTGTCCTTATGGAATGTAGTTTCACTTGTGTCTTAAAGTCCTTAGATGAACTGAAAGTTTGAAAAATGTAGAAGGGCTCACTAACCAAAGCTGCATCATTTTCATAAGCCCTATGTATGGCCCTAATAGTTTTCCTTCGCTTACCATCATTTGCCTCATCTGATGAAGACCCAGACAACAAAACCTCTGTGTTGATCACTTCTAACTCACCTTGTTGTGTACCTTCAGGTACATTACTTTCAGAAGAACCTCCAACCCATTCTACATCCTTGTCAATGTTCATATGGAAATCTTTCATATCCACATCAACATCGTGTATGAGATTGTCCTCATCAATAAAAAAATCACTATCTTCACTCTCACTATCATCATCAAACTCATCATTTCCACTGCCATTGTTGTGTCCACTACCATCATAATCATCCTCATTCTCTACATTCATTTCAAATTCAATATGGTCGACCAAAGATGGTTCTTTGTCCAAATGACTATCATTCTCAACTTCTGTTAGGTCTGGAACACTCTCATGCTCAATTGGAGAGTCATTCCACTCCAAGAACAACTGTTTGGAGCAAGCTGGTGGCTCTTTAATTTCAACAATTTTAACCTTACTAGGGTTGGGGGACATAGAATAAGTATGTAAATTTGTTTTCCCATGCTCAATATATACATCTATTACCTTATGGTTAGCAACATACGTACCCAGATGATGAACATCCTGATCTGAACCCAAAGCAAATAACCCAAAATCCAAATCGCCAAATGGTCTCAGGAAATGATAATAGAGTAGTGTTTCGTCTGAATCAATATGCCCAAGTTCCTCCATCATCTCGTCAATGTCGTGAATGGAAAAGGTGTCAATGTCTAGTAAATCAACATAATTTTGCTTGCCTTTGATGTACTTTCTTCCAGGGAACTTTGTAAACTGTCCACCATGGTGTAATCGGACAGAGAATATCGTTGGATGTCTGGCTGTATATTCACGGAAAGATTGGTTAGTCACATTTTTCTTTTTAAGTTATTAACTGATTGAGGGAGTAAACACTTACCATATCTACGACCAACGTCAATCTCGTCCATGGTAGCACGTATCCTCCAAGGCGCCATCGTCGTTTTCAAATGTAGGGTTCTTTCGATCAAGGGTTTTCAAGGGTTTTCAAAGGGTTTTCAAAGGTTTTGTCTGTGAAGCTTGTGTCTGATCACGTTGATCAACGATACGTCCTTTTTTTTCTTGGCGGTATAACATTGGATATGTGAAAAGACTTTTATACCCCTAACGTGCAAGGCACGTGGGGTGTCTAACGGAAACAATTGACGGACTGTGAGAATAGGGACGTGGCGGGCTACATAATTAAAAGTTGAGGACAGTCCGAGTTAGAAAAATAAGTTAGGGACCAAGTGTGTAATTTACACTAAACCACAGGGACCATTCGCGTAATTTACTCTAATATTTTTTTCAGAAAACAATGCAATTTCAACCAATAAAAATATTTCACACATTAATTATGTTGTCTAACTGGGAAAATAGGTATCTTATTAGCAACCCAAATCCTAAACACCCTTTATATTGTGAACTGTGAGGCGACAAAATTCAGGGAAGACCGAAGACAATCAGAGATCGTGAGAAGAAAACAGATCTAATTCTACAACGATGTCGTCCGGCAATGATCCCCGGCAGCCGTCATCGGCGAAGCCTTACAAGCCTCAAGCGGTTCACCCTGATAATTTGCCCATTGATTACTCTGGTTTCATCGCCATCATCTTCGGCGTCGCAGGCGTTATGTTCCGGGTTAGTTTTTTAATGCACTTTAGATGAAAACATGTTGCAAGCTTGTATGTATACGTGTTGAATTGTTGTTGTACGTATTGTATGAGTTCCAAATACAGGTGAGTTGAGATCTGGAAAAGTAATTCAGTGAATTTAAGAATCTAATTTACCATCTGGAACATTTATCCAATCGTTTGATTGGTTGTTAGAGAATCGGGCTGCTGTAACCTGATATTATATGATGAATTCTATACATATTAGGTTATTAAGAATGGCGCACCAAAGCAAAATATTAGGGCACAATAAGAAAGTATAGAATTTTGTGAAGCTGTGCAAATTATTAGACAATGTTTATGGTGACAGAGTTTGTGCAACCTGATGAATTATTATCTATTACTCATTTACTTGTGGGTTTTATAGAAGTTGATTCATAGGCTGATGGATGATGTTAATTTGCATGTATGTATATGTATGTTTGCAGTACAAGCTTGGTTCATGGCTTGCTCTCATATTCTGTGCCCAGTCTCTTGCTAACATGAAGAATATAGAGACTGATTTAAAGCAGATCTCCACAGGATTTATGTAAGTCCATTACATTACATTACATTACGTATCTATATAAAAGCAATGAGATATGCTATATGCTATCTTCATCGCTGAGTTGCAATCTGTTCTGTTGTAGTGAAGTTTGATATTGTTGGTGTTGTTTAATAGGTTTGCTGTTATGGGAATGGTGACAAATTACTTAAGCCCTGCTCGACCAGGAGTGAAGACGACTTGAGATCTTGACTCACTTTACTTTACAGTTTATACCCAGTGACAGTGATTCAAACTTTTCTTTGGAATGCTTTTTTCTGTCATGTAATTCCATAGTCACTGTTCTGAACTTAGGTAGTGAACTATAATTATTCCATGTTTTGGTGTGTATTAAAACTGAAATTTATTATTATGCTTTCTTTCTTTCTTTACACACACACACTAGTCTAGAAGAATAAGGGGCTGTTTGATTTTCTGAAGCAAAATTTCATGAAGTCTGCGAACCACTTCTGCAACCCTCTACAATAGAAGAGGTGGACCAAACGGAAGCGTGTTTGCTTTTTTAACATTTGAATACTGCTGCAGATATTAAAAAATTAAAATAAACTAATTTTATAAATCAAAAATAGTTTTTTCATACGAAAATTTTAATAATGTACAACATTTCGGCAAGAATTAATGATATTTCAATAAAAAATAATCATATTTCAACAAAAAAATAAAGATAGTTAGCAAAAGAAATAATGATATTTCATTAAAAATCTATCATTATTCAATATAAAAAAAAACAAAAAAAAATTCAAAAAAAAAAAAAAGTGAAATAAAATTTTAACAACATATAATAAAAATTTCAGCAAAAAAAAAAGATTGGAAGAGACAGAACAAGTGTTGCGCCAACCAGAGCACGCACAAAGGTTTTTGACTCTAAAGACTTCTAAAAAACAAACAGTCGCAAGATGAAAAATGTTGAGCTTGTGTTGCACCGCGCAGTAATAAGAGATCTGAAAAGATTTTTTCCAAAAAACAAACATTACCTGAATGGTGTTTTATATAGGGGTGTTCAATGAATCCCTCCCTCAGTGCCATTTTATCAAGTAGATAACATACAATTTTTAAACGTTAGTTAAAACTGAAACAAGCAAATCATAAATTTTGTTATGACATTATTAATTCTCCCAAATTACAAACCGAAAGATGGTTTGCTTTATATGGAGGGCATGGTTGGGAAAAATTCCAACAAAGTTAGCAGTAGTAAAATGTGGGGTCTCCATGGGAGATATAAAATGTAGTCTTTGTGATGAATAGGAGAAAGATTCGGATCATGTTTTGGTTGGGTGTGAATATGCAGCTGAAGTAATGAGCTGGATCTTTAAATGGTGATGTTTGATGATGCCCCCAATAAGAACCGTGGTCGAATTGCTGGATTTTGCCAACAATTGGTCGAATAATCAAAGTAAAAGGAGGTTTGCTCTTGGGGATTTGTTATGGTGTTCTTTGGGGTATTTAGAAACAAAGGAATGATAGAGTGTTTAATGATTCTAATACGCCCCAGCTAAATGTGCTGATATCATTCAATCCACATTGTTCCTATGGATGAAAAATAGGAAGGAAAACTCTAATATGGTGTGGCATAATTAGCGTAGTAATCTATTTTCATGTTCGTAATCTGTCAGTTTTAATTCTTCTACTTGTACTCATTCTGCAGCTTCTAGTTACTTACTAGATGTCTGTTTATCTATATATTTTATTTGCCAGTTTAAAAAAAAAAAAAAAAACGGTTCATAATTCATTTGCAAAAAGCTACAACTGAAGTGATAGACACAACACAATTACTTAACAGCAAGCATCTTTTTTCTTACAAGTAAGCGATGTGTTATTTTAAAATTTGGGCTTACAAAACCAAAACCAATTTGTAACAACAATTACCAACGCCCTCTCCTCAAAAAAACAAACACAAACTCTAATTTCCATTTTGCCACATCACCCAACTTCATAATCGTAATGTCCCACTTCCACCTCATGGTTCAATAACAAGTAAAGGCTGCAACACAACACAACAAACCATACCATGTTTTTGGTTCAATTCAAAACATAAATTGATGTGTGCATGTGTGTGTGTGTGTGTGTGTGAGAGAGAGAGAGAGAGAGAGAGAGAGAGAGAGAGAGAGAGAGATACCGTATCCAGGCTAACTGGTTTCCCATCCTCAGCAATAATATCAACTACTGTTCCCGATTGATCAGCCTAACAGAATAACATAATAATTCACAGACACATCAAATACACTTGATATAACCTATTTTTATCTTGTTGTAGCCAATAGATTTTTGACAGGTCATAATTAAGATTATTTAGGTTGTCAGAAATTATCAAAATTATGAAAGAGACTGAATTACCTCTATCTCATTCATCAACTTCATTGCTTCGATAATGCATATTACTTGACCTTTCTGGACCTTGTCTCCCACCTAGTAATAAAAAAAAAATACATCAAATATCTTCACACCACTTCCACTTCCAAATCAAGAAAGAATAAGACTATTTTCAATGAATGAGCATGAGGAGGGCATTAACGTCTTTTGTTTGTTGGTTAATACCTTAACAAAAGCAGGAGCTCCTGGTGCAGGGGCACGATAGAAGGTTCCAGCCATGGGGGATTTGAGAGGAGGACGTGAGGATTTTGGCTTTGCAGGGGGAGGTAATGCTGGCAGTGATGCGGAAGGAGCCGGAGTGGCAGCTTGTGGTGGTGGCGGTGGTGGTGGTTGTGAATGATACATAGGCTGTTGTTGTTGTGATGATTGCATCATCATCATAGGAGGTGCAGGAGGTGGGGCTAAAGCTTCTTTTTTTCTTATAATCACCTCACGATCATCTTGTTTTAGCTGCAACTCCATTATATCTCTCGAATCCACTAGCCTGAAAATAAAAAGATAATAATTACACTTTAACCCCAAATCCCAGATTAATTTAAGAAAATATATGTGTAAGAAAGAAAGATATTTGCATACTCAACAAGTCCTGCAACTTGGTTCATGAATGCGGTGATGGATGCAACATCAGGAACTGCAGTTTCAGTTTCAGTTTCAGAAGAAGATATTTTGGTTGAATTTTCGTCTGATGGTGGGGGTGCAGAATTTGATGATTCCCCAACAGAAATCTGAAGAGGAAAGATTAACATCAGATTTTGGTTGGAAACCAGGAAATGGGAATGATAATTTGATATATTATTTATTCGTCGGTTACCTCATTAAGCTGAGCAGACACTTTCATAACACCATTCTGGTTCCTCTTAGTTGCCTACATGATGATGATGTTTTAACAAGTTAACAGATACGTGCTTGATGATTCATAATCATATGGTGGCTCAATCATTATTGAATTATAGATGGTAGAAGCTGTGCACTTAAATCTTTGAACAGTACCACTTGTCAAGTCATAGTCAGTCAGTCACGTTTTGATAAACCGAGGGTTTTAAAATCTATTCAAGCAACTCGGAAAACTGAATTACACTAGTGGATGTGGATCAAACAGAATTTGAATTAAAAGCAACTAAAGTGTACAGAGATGGAGAATGAGAGAAACTAGCTAACACGGCATCAAAATTACCGAATTTATGCCAAAAACAAACTAACAACACAAACGTCTCAGCAACTTGTTAAGTGAAGTGAATAAAAAATTGAGCATGAAATCTGGAGATACCTGAAATCCTAGAGACGGTGATCGTGAAACCAAAGCGCGGTTGGGTTTGATTTTGAAATCGGATTGGAAGAGAACAATGGAGGTGTTGCGGTGGTTGGGTATTTG